GAGAAGCACGGATTCTCCAAATTTAGCCCACATACTCGCAGCGATTGTCAGAAGTGCGATATTCCCCATTTTTATATATTTTTTTAAATCCTTTATAATTTTGATTATTTAATTGCTCCTTCCTCTCTTCCTTGGCATGTTGTGAAATTTCTGATAGTTGGACAATAAACCGTTTTATTGTAATTTGTCTTTTTAAATTATTTTGAGTCGATATTAAAATTTGAAAAAGGGGGATTCCTAGATTGGTAAAATAGGCAAATTTCCTTCTACAACTTTGGTTGTTGTTCGGTATACAGTTAAGGTTTTAACAAAGTTCAAGCGAATACATAATTAGCAAAAAAAGTTGAAATAAAGTGATTAAACAAAAATTATTACAAATATCGTAAATAACAAATGCATATATAGAGATATTTTTTGGAGGGGGGAAATGGTCTTCACAATTTGAAATCGATCAAACACACTGTGAAATGATCGTATACATGCACGCCATCTATCATAGGATAAATGTACTATGCCAGAAACCTTCGCGGGAATGTATTAAACAACTTCCCAAAGCTTCATGGCAATCGTACTATGCCAGAAACCTTTGCGGGAGTATATTAAACAACTTCCCAAAGTTTCATGGCAATCGGGTAAACGGTGTGGTAATGCATGAAGGACAGACACACAGACATACATTCATTTTTATATATATAGATTTGTATTTGTAAGATCTAAATCATGTTTTTTTTTTATTTTTAACCTGAAGAGGGTTGAATTAATGTATGAGAAAACATTACATTCACTCCCCAAAATGCACTGCTTGATAAAAATTAATTTTATTCTGAGTTTTTCCTTGGAATAAATTCTTTCTCTCTGATTCAAGCAGATAAAGAGGTAAAAATGAAATGAATAATTTTAAGATTGGTTTTAAGCTTTAGCAGTAGAAAATGTTTCCCTTCAACATCCAGATATTTTTTGTAGACAAAGTAAAAATTATTGTTAACTATCAACAAGCTTGACAGTTAACAATAATTTACTGTTGCAGATGCTTTAAATTTTAAATTTTATCAGAATAAACTATTTACTTGAGCTAGCTTCAGAGTCAAGAAGATTCAGGTCAGATCTTGGAGCCCATTCTAGAAATAAACATATCTAGGTTTTCCCTAAGATTCCACACTTTTTGGACATTTTGTATTTCACTTAAACATAAGAAATATATCTAAAATTTTGGTCAGAGTAATAAAATGCATTTTATTCTATTTAGTTTTTATAAATTAAAATAAAATACACCTTTATTTCAACCAATACAAATTAACTAATTTCACATAATTTGTCAAACAAATTTTCTTTCAATTAGGGAGGATTTTTCATTCATTTAAAAAAAATGAAGCCAATTATATATTTCTAAATATGGCATTAATAAAATTTATATTTACTTGTATTTAGAGATTCATATTTAATTTACAGTAAAATTTATTTTTTGGAAAAATATAAATTTGGAATTTTTAAAAATAGATTTTGAGATCAGTCCAAAAACATATTTCTAAAAATTTGATTTAATATAACTTTGCATATAAATATAAAAGTGCAAAAAAGTGCATCATTTGCATTCATTGAAATTGTGGTGTATGTCTGACTTTTTCTTTTTACTCAAAAATTTTTCAATAAATTCACATTACCTATTTATGCAAAAGTTAGTTTTCATAGAAATAATCCAGAGTGTCATTATGAACCAATGCAATATACAAACAACAGGCAGATATTCTGGTAATTGTGAAGCAAAAAGTCCGAGTGCAAATATCCTCGCAGAAATAACGAAAAAATGCCAAGATGCATGGAAAATCGTCGCAATCCAGCCCATGTTTTTCTTCTTAGGCAGTGAAAATCTAAGAGCTCGAAAATAAGCAGATATTGCCCAGGATATTGATACGAGTGATATCAGAACTGATACTATTTGAACGATCACTATAATAAAAAATGTATATACTGTTACTTTTTAGAAAATTTTATTATAAATTAATCTTATTTATAAATACAAAATATGATAAAAAAAATCAAAAACTGAAAGCATATACTTATGAAACTTATAACATTAACTTTATAAATTTTAAAGAAATATCAAATTGATGTAAAAAACAAATGACAAGCTATTACCTTTAAATATAAGAATCCTAACAGTTTGAATACAGATTAGGTTCTTGTCAGATGCTAAAGCCTAATGTTGGATTGATTGTGTCGAGACTATCAAACTATTTACATATTTTTTAATATGTATTGATGTGCAAAGGATTGTGGTATTTTATTAAAATTCTTTATATCGAATATTTTAAGAAAAATTTGTTTTCTTAAAATATTATAAGTGCATTAAGTGCTTTTCAGTTTGACGATTACTATTTTTAGTACAAATAATGCAATTTGTTATAAAATGTTTACTATTGCAATTAAAAATTATGGACAAAACTTTATGCAAATTTAGTTATTTTATTTTTTTTTTAAATAGATGATGCATCATGCTATAATCTTTATTTAATTTTGTTTTGAAATTAATGCAGACGAATGGAGAAATGAGATAAGACATTGGCATGGGAAATCTGCCAAGGAAATGTGCCTCGTGGAAGAACTTTTACTGGAAAACTTGCCCCTATTTAGACACATGAAGAAAACCTGGAAAAATTCACTTGGCCAGAATATTGGCAAGATATAAATCCACAACCAACCAATCACCCAGTTTTTAGCAATTTTAACAACTTGACCACTAGTGGGCATTGAAATTAATCCATTTTTATCATTATTTTTGTATATTTTATGATCAAGTTTCAATGAATAGCATTCATTGTTTTTATTAACAAAACATTCTTCAAAGGGCCAGTACTACTAAAAATAGCAAGCATAAAAAATTCTCATTTGCACTGATAAAAAAGTCAATAAAATTATTATTAAATTTTAAATTTAATTATAGTAATCAATTTGTTCACAATACAAATGAACAAACAAATTATCTGCAAACAATATTTAATTACACAGCAGTTATTTTAATTTGATAAGGTAAGCACATAATATAGCATACTACCATTAATTAACAATTTCCTCAATATTATTCAAAAAAATTAAGTGATATCCAATTTATTCTAAAGAAGAGCCAATTTTTGGGACAAGACTATGTCTCAGAGATTCAGGGTTCGACGCAATCATTCAAACTTTGCCAGTCTCAGCCATGGCCACGACCACGAGGTCATCCACAAGGCATTTTCAGTGAAATTAGCCTATCCAATGTCAAAATTTCTCTCTGTTGCATGTCTGTCACCCTGAGTTGAATTTTTGTCGATGCCTAATGAAAATTTCCGTTTTTTAAAAAATAATCATGGCTATTGTATCATCTGAAATTATATTTTTATTTTGTTTGTGAAAAATAAATATATTAATAAATGTAAAAACAAAAATAAATATAATTATATTTTGGAAGTAACTTTTAATATAAAATTATAATGACTAGCACCATCTAGTTTCAAAAACGTTCCAATGCTGAAATAAGATATCTTGGGTCAACCAGTCAAGTCAGCAGGTCACGACCAGAAAGGTAAATGGATTTTTTCAAAGATTCATTTGTCAAAATTCAATTTTGCAATGTTCACATTTCCAACTTCCCAATGATATACACATGTGCAAATCTTGCACTCTTGCCTGTTTGTAGAAAGATTTTGCCATTTTGTATTTTATTTTGACTCAGTTCTTGGTCCTGAGTACCTTCATGTCCGATTTTTTTTTTATGCATGCATGATTTGGGTACCTAATACCCTGTGCAAATTGCAACTCCTGACATGTTCCCCTTACACTTCTAAGGTATGCACCCATAACACCACCACAATTTTATAAACAAGGAATATTTTCTTTTTTTTTTTTATTTGTGATCGACCAAAAGATTTTTTTGGAAATGACTGTCTTTTTATTAAAAAAATATTTATCATCCTGCGAAATTTTAAAATTAAAAGGCATATTCTTGTCAAAAAGTCAGTAATTCAATTCTAATTACAAAGTTTTATGATATAGAGTAGAGTCTCTATAGTCTATAGTCACATTCAGTAATCCAACACTCCACTGCAGGATAGCGCACACTAAATTTTCATGTTATCACTTGACATACGAAACACAGAAAGACTGATATACATGTATATTATCAGTCACTAGTTGTTTGTTGCTTGTGCACTTGGCAAAACAGTCGCAATTATAATTAATATGATAAACTAATTGGTGAACCAAGTGTGTTTTTTACTGTACAATACATGTACACATACAAAATTCAGTAATTTGACAATCTGCTGTAAACCACTACCCACAGGTCCAATATACATCAGATTATAGAGACTCTACTGTATTTGTGATATTATTTACACTAATTAGCTACAGCCAAATCCCAGTATACAAATTCACACTACAATAAACTATGTTCTTTAGTACTCGTCACAATATTCATAATTTAATAATCTATAAAATACCTTTCCAAGAAATAGGTTCATCCATAGAGAATTCAATTTTCAATAAAATATAAATCTGCAGCAATAATTGAGGAGCAGCTTCCATGAAAGATTCAAAAAGTCTTAACAATGTGGCATCAACATCTTCATATAACATTTCCTGGAAATATTCTTTCTGTTTCAATTTACTTTTATCTTTTTGACTTTTTAAGCCAAATAAAATGCAATCAATGTATCTGAAAAAAATTTTTAAAAAAATAAATAAATAAAACAAAATCTATTTATATTATGTTATATGCATTTTTATTAAGGATAAGTAAAGTCTATAAGAATTGTGTATATACAGTAATATATAATTGTGGTGGCCAAACTGCAGCTTGCAAACCACAAATGGCTCTTCTAGATCCTTATTGCCTACTTACACAATTTCTTGTTATAAACTTAAACTTTACATACATATAATATTATTCTGATAAGAAATGCAGTCTCACGTATTTCTGATAAGTGATGTATGGCTCTTATCTTGACAAGGTTTGGCCACTGCTGATATTCAACAGAAAGAACATCTAATATTTTCAGAGTTTAACTATAAGACCTATGTGTATAATTTTAACATTTTGATACACTATGTACAGTACATTTATGCTATGAGCAACTAACGGTCATAACGAATATTAAAATATTAACACACAAAAAAATTGTTTATACCAAGCCTTTCTTAACTCTTTCCTTCCTGTGGACATATCTTTTATCATATTTAATAACATAGGTTTGTTTAAGACTATAATTTAACTTTTGATAAAAATGCCAGACAGTAAAAGATTAACCTAGATACTTTGAGCTTTACCTCTACAAGTTTGAGGATTCAGTTTGAACTTAAACAGCAAGCTGATAACTTCACAGTCTTGGCAATCTGACTGCGAGTGAAATGGGAATTAATTGGTGGAGAAATTTCACAAACAAAAAAATTGCAATATATCAAGGATTCCGTAGAAAAATATTAATTTCCTTGAAAATATATTTTGTTTTTTAAATATTAATTGTTTTTAAACACGAACATTTGGAATGAGTCAAATATTTTACTTTGAAAACTGGAAATAGTTAAAACTTTTTAAAATTTGAAAAATTTATGTAAGGATATGTTAATTAATTGTTTTAAATAATATTTTTCTTGTATTTGCATCATGCTGGTTGTTGTTTCATAGTTTCATTAATGGCCATTATCATCCACATTAATACCAGACTTATTATACTGGGATAGGAATTATCACTTGATTAGGAAATAAACATTTATTGATTATTTTATACAGGGAATGCATTTTGCATATCCAGATAAGGTAGTCATCGTCAAAAAGTGGGCTGATGAGAGAAAAGATGGTGTGAAATGCATTCCACGCATAAAACAAATCACTATATGATGATTTCCTAATCAAGCAATAATTCCTATCCTGATATAATAAGTTAGATGATGATGGCTGTTAAAGAAACTGAAACAATATTTTTATTAGTATCAATTGCACCATGCCAATCTGCCACTCTGGAGACCCAAGTTTGAGTCTTGGTCATCTCAGGAATTACCTTAACTCATATGGGCAGTTTGTTCTGCATATGCCTAGTCCTTTCCCTCCCACTGTGAACCTAATAGAATCTATTAGGCATATGATTAAAAAGTTCTTCTAATACCCTGAAGGTGAAAATTATTATTAAACACTTTTTTTATTATAAACATTTTATTTTTATTATAAAGGTCAATTAAAAANCAGAAGCTCCGGGTGACCAAAGAAAGTTATACTTATCAATGTGTGCATCTTGTCTCCATACACCGGATATAGCGACAGAAAGGACATCGCCATACAACAGAAAGCCACTTCAAACTTCCATTGCCATTCTACAGTTCCTGCACTGACTACAATTCATATGGCCCATTCAACAAACGCATATTAGTCATATCCTTATAGAGGTATTTGCATTTTCGAGCATTGTGAACTCTCTCTCAGGATAGCCGTTAGAGCTGTTAGAACGGCCTGTTTTTATAGTTAACTCATATTTAATCGCCGTTAGCCTATGTATTGTTATAGCGTCTTGTATCTTAGCTTAATTAATCAAATAAATGCTTGTTTATTTTGTTAAACCTGTCTCTAAAGGACATCTGCCAGCTTCCTCACCTCCCTCCCCATTCGATTTGCCCTCCTAAGCCATCCTACGACTGTGGGATCGGGTTTTACCAACCTGTTGCAGCGTAAGCGGTCATTAGGGATCAGCCCAGTGGCCCTCTGCATATCTCACAATTTTTATTCTCGAAACAGGTAACAAGATTTACTCCTGAATAATGAATAAAAAATTGTTTTCTTCTTCTCTTGAAGCTCAGTTTTACAGTAGTCAATTAACAATAGTGTGAATTATTAAATAAAAAGAATTTAGTGACTAATAAACAAGCAAAATGATTATATTATTACAAGTATAATGTCTTAAATGGGTACTATAGCACCTGGATAATCGGATACCCCAATATTTGAGTACTAAAATTATAAAATGAAAAATTATACACAACTTACCATAAATGCAAATCCCAATAAAAATAATGCATAATGTACCACAAAAATTGGCAGTCGATAGTTCAGAAAATTATTGCCGTAGAAATTCCATATTAACATGAGAATGCTATTTTCTGTAATCATAACAGAATAGTAAATGAAATATCTGTGTCGAGTTGGAGAATCTACTGGATTGAAATAACAGAAGATAAAGATGATTCCAACAACGGCATTATAAAGTACTTCCTCAAACCTGAAACAGAAACAATCATTTTTGTAATCGTCTGGACATAACAAACAAAATTGTCATGATTTACATTTGAATTGCCTGTAAATTACAAATAAAAATGTATTTATATTATTTTTAATATAATTAATGCACAAATTATACTTTGTGTTAAGTCTGTATTAATAGCATATCCTAAATCTAAAAGTGAGGTTTAGAAAAAGCTATAAAACAAAAATTCAAAATAAATTCTAGCCTCATGTATATGATAATATATGAAGCAAATATGCCCAAAGACATGAAAAAACACTAAACTACATCATGATAAATAAAAGTTGTAATTGCAATGTATATAAATTTTATTTAGATGTCAATTTTTTCCAAAATTTCCTTTGTGTAGTTTTGATGAGACTATTATAAAAATTCTGAGCATCATTTTTGTTGCATCAGCATAAGACAACGGATGCAAGAAGAATCACTTTTTTGTATTTTGTTACCAAATCCTTAACCCCTTATTTTTAGGCTTTTTGAATAGCTTACAAACGAAATATAATATTTATAGCAGACTTCTGAAGATTTGAAAACATGATTATGCATAAACTACTTATATATCAAAACATCTGCCACAGTAATTAAATTATAAAACTTGACATATAAAAGAAGTTGGCAACCTGTAGTTCCCCACATACAAGATGCTACTCTTCCTCTATACAGAATATTTTCATAGTTATTGATCCACAGCTTAGTGAAATCTTTACTATGAGATAGCTATAGTTTGTAGGCTGTAGATAAAAACTTGCATAATAATTTTTCATAGATTTTTCTCATACCATAGAACAACTCTTCCAAGGATTAGTTTAAAAATGATTGCACCAGGGAAGCCTTTTCATTACATACAGGCATCATCATCATCATCATCATCATCATCATCATCATCATCATGAAGATTGTACAGATGTTTTCAAACATTACGGCTGTGATTTAATGGAAGGGAATGTGGCTGTGGAATAGGAAAATGTTACAAAATGAATATAGAAGTGAAACTTAAAAATGTGGCTTAAAATTAATTTTAGATGATATTGTAATATAAGAAGTCAGTGTTACATATATTTAAATGTATAAAATAAATAAGATAATCATTAAAAAAATAAAATAATAATGAGAATAAATTGAAAAATAATATTAAATTAAAAAGTATTGGTGAAGAAATGATAAAAATTACAACTCAGTGGCACAATTTGTAACAAAAACTCTGCATTGTTAATGCTTTTGAAAGATTAATGCATTCAAGTTTTCAACATTTACAATTTCTTAGTCACTATTATAATGTCTGCTTGATAAAAGAAAATTACTAAATCATCATTTTTTTTTATAAGTGACTATTGCAGAACAGATATCTTCTATCTTTATTATCTAATATCTTACAATAATTTGGTTTATAGCAAAATGTGAAATCAGTTTTATTGTGTTTATTGTAGCTTATTCCTTTATATAAACAAGACATCCAAAAATTTTTTAAATCATAAAAAACAGTACATTCTTGCTAATCTGGGTCCTCATTTATCCAGCACATCCCCCTAGTGCGATTGCCTATACACTTCTGTTTCCATGAAAACATTAGCTGTGTTAGACATCCAGTTCTCCTGTTTACTCAGGCTTCTATCCTGTTTATTGTCAGCATGCTGTACTATTTTTCCTCATGTCTCCAAGAAGAATCAGTACTAGGTCACATTGTTCATTACCCTTAGGCCTATACGCTCAGTAATCCAGCAAGCTCGCTAATCTGCCACCTATTGATGTAAGGAACAGTCAAATTTGCAAGAGTGTTTTCTTATATATTATTTTTATCAAAAATATACCAAATTCCTCACAATGCTTTAACCACAGAAATTAGTTATATTTTAGTCTAATCACTATTTTGTGTTCTCAAATTCTAGTTCACAGCTGTCTCCCTGTTTCCCCTATATAATTAACTGTATTTACATATGTACAATTAAGTTTATAGACTACCCCCAGCCTCCTCCAAATTGTCTTCTTTCCTGTTTTATTACATTATTTTATTTTTCATTCCTACATTTATGAGCATATGGCAATTATACATGTATGTAATACATAAATTTAAACGATGGGATAAAAACACAAGGCGTGAGAATGGATATCATGCAGAAAAAAGCTTGCAACAAAACATATATCATCAATTGATGATATACAAATAGTGGAAATTTTATAAATTGTTTTATTTGCTTTGTATAAAAGAGAAAGGTCAGTTTATAAGTTTGTTTTTTTATATAATACTAGCAGACCCCGCCACGCGTTGTTGTGGCTCAAAGTGTATAAATGTATAACACTTCCCCGTGTGGGGGGAAATTTTTCGAAAAATTTCTTTTTAGTGTACATTCTCTTGGCGTGCCCTATTAAAACGGAATCAAAAACACAAAAAACCGCATCTAAAATAGTAGAAATAGAAGCAGAGTTCTTTATGGTAAGCCTTAATCCTGTTCATCTCCCCCCAGTGGGGGGAATTTCGACACGTATATTATATAAAAACACGTGCGTATTCGAATGCAGCGTTGTGTGAAAATTTCAAAGGAATTGGTAGGAACAAACGAACATTACATTTTTATT